TTTTTAAGTTTCCTCATTTTGTAAGCATGTATACCCACAAGAACATATACACATATCCCTCACAAACGCTGTTAGCAAACTTTGAAACATTCTTACATGTAACTAACATGTAAGAACATTGCACATTAAAAATGAGAAGCTTAAAAGCTAAAAATAAAGCTCAAAGTTACTTAACTGTTGCCAATCACTATGCAGGAGTCATAATTCTTTGTAACACTGATTCTAACTTGCTATTTATCATCACTGAATAACAAAATATGAAAATGACTGCTTTATAACAGCATGCATTGTTTTGTAACACAAAATGATTCCACATACAACTAACTCAATATATATTTACTATATGCCATGAATGAGATGGTATACAAAAATATATACAGTTCCTTTCTTCATTTATTAGTATAAAGCTTGAAAGTATTTTTCAAGTCTCATACCAATTATGTAGCTATGGTACAGAAGTTACACTGAAGAATCAATAAATAATAACCCTGCCCATCCTTTGACTTACTCCTTTCTTGTGAACAACTGAGACAAAAAAGCTGATCACTATGCCACCACTATCTCCAACCACTAAGTTAACTCCTAAAAAGCTGTAATTTGGAAAGTTTTAAAACAGCCTGTAAAGGGTATTTTTCCTGAAACTGTTTGTATTAAATCAACATTAAGGACATAAAAGCAGCAAAACACGTACATCCCATCCTCTAAGTTTTCCAGACTTCACAATACAGACCTAGATGAAACTGTTCTCTCAAGTTAGCAATGGAAATGAGCAAAACTCAAATAGCATTTTAAACACTCAAAAATATACAGTATTAATCTTTACTAGAGCTAACATTTCAAACAATTCAGTAAAAGCTGAGTTGGAAAAATCTACAACATAATCTTTAAATATAGCAGACATTTAGCATTTAATACATGCAAGCACTTTTTAAATTTTTATTTCTTTTTAAAGTTTTATTTATTTATACATACAGAACTGGGGTACAGGCCAGAGGTGCTGAGGGTGACAGAATTCATCAGAGACAGAGTGGGGAGCAGAACAGGCAGATAAACTGAAATACACTGATGAAGGGAGCAGCAGGTGGGTCAGGAGAAGTCTACTGCACCATGTGGGTCACCTCCCTGGCTGGGGATCAAATTCCTGCTGCAGTGGCTGTGGTAGCCTCATAGTGCTGTGCTTTAACCCATTATGCCACCAGGGAGGGATCAGCACTTTTTTAAAAGATTATTTATTTATGCCTATAAGAACTGGGATGCAGGTAAGAGGTGCAGGCAGTGGGGTGAGAAGAGTCGCCAGAGACAGTAGGGAGCAGAACAGGCAGACTGATTTAAATACACTGCTGATGGGAGTATCGGGCAAAATGGGAGAGGCCTAGTGCACTATGTGGGTCAGCTCCTTGGCTGGCAGGAATTGAACTCAGAACTGAGTTCAATTGCAGCAGTGGCTGCAGATAGCTTCACAGTGCTGAGACTTAACCTCTTAACGCCAACAGGAAGGCAAGCAATGTTTTAAGTTTTTTTTGGTAGTACCTATGCACATCAAAGTTCTGACAGAAAATATCATTATTGTATTTTAAAATTAGGAATTAAAGGTCATAAAGCTAAGTAGAAGTAGCCCATCCAGGTTAAATAGCAGGTAAAATGTCAGTCAGGATCAAAGACAGCTAACTTTCTGATCTAGCAGTCTTGAACACTACAAATGTTGGTTTGTGAATAGCAAATTCATAATCAACAATTGATTGTATCTCGAGCATAGAGCTTTCAACCTGTCACCAAATATTTATCAGCTGCACCAGGTACTTCAGTAAATGATGGCAAACAAGATAGATAATGTCCCTGGCTCTCCAACTTCTTCACTTTTGTGTAAAGAAAGTGCAATGGAGAAAACAAGCATTAAAAAGATCTAATACATCTAAATGAACTTGCAAATCTGACGGTGTAACTTTTCCAACAAAGGAAAAACAAGCAGAACCTGAAACGAGAACGTACATTTCTATAATGATGGAAAAAATGTGAGATTAGAAAGCTAGCATATTCCAATTCATATAGTTTCTCATCAGTAGCATTTGTAAATAAATTTGGAAGCTGTAGTATGTGTTAGCAATGTTAATGAGAGAACCAATGTTTTTGGACAGGTGACTGACATGATGTAACTGGGATACAAAGATTACTTTGTCTACACAGAATGAGTGAAATCTGAGGACCAACATAGGGTTAATGCAGTAATTTTAAGAGAAACTGGCACTGATGAGTTGTAGAGACGGAGAGTGGATGGATCAAAATACACACTAGGAAAATTTAAGACATGTTTACTGACTGGATCTGGGGAGGGAGGCTAACATAAGAACTTAGGACTTCAGCAAAGTTCTGTTTAAAAAGTGTTATAAACTGACGATCACAATTGGTATACATTAAGGTCTCATACTCAAAAACTTGATTCTGGATGAATTTTTACATGAAGAAAAATTAGATGTTTGTAAGACAAGAAAAACAATTACAAAAGGATTCTGTTCTAAATTGGCAAGGAAAAAAACAATCTATAAATCAACTATGAACTAGTACAGTGTTCCAAACTGCCATTTCTTCTTCTGTATTTTTCTTTCCCATCTCTAACTATAAGCTGTTAAATCAAAAATGTTTAAACCACCAAAAATGTTTAAAACCTCCCAACTTTAAATGGGGAGTAGGAGGAAGGCAAATTATCTACAGAGATCACGTTTCTAAGAATTAACCTTAAGTACAAAAAACTCATGTTATCACATCAAAACACAGGAACTCTGCCTTTCCAAAAATAAATAATATATACTTATGAGAACATTAAGGTACAAAATATTTTAAATGTACTCTGAAATAAAAGTTTAGCATGAGTTTAATTTTAAAGTGTCATCCTAATTCCTTGAATATTAATGATTCATAGTTTTTATTAATCACTTAATATAGCATTGCTTTGTTTTAACCTACCAATGCTTATGGAAATTTATATTTATTTAAAATTTATAGACACTTACAATGTAAAATTCATCTTGAAATGTTGGAGAAGGGATGACTAGTCTTCCAAGTTTAACAAAAAGAATGTTTTCCGTAAAACTACAAGCACATTTATAATAGTACTAAATCTATCCTATTTAAGAAAAAAAAGTTCTAAAAAATGATCTATCCATGTTATTCTAATAAAATGTTTTCAGACTTCACATGTGTCACAATCATGTGGAAGACTTGTTAAAACACTGCTGGGTCCACAATGGAATATTACACAACAATCAAAAATAAACACATGCCTTTTGCAGCAACATGGATGAGGCTGGAAAAGATCATGTTTAGTGGAAAAGATCATGTTTAGTGAAACAAGCCAAAAAGAAAAGAAAATACCAGATGGTTTCACTCATAGCAGGAGTATAAAGATCCAGGGGAGAAAATAACAGTAATAATGAACAACTATATACCAGAGACATTTTACAGGGGTGGAGTAGGGAATGGATCAAAAATGTGGGTAGGAAAGTGCACGGAACTATGGTGATGGCACTTGGGTGATTTGGTGATGGGAAGCCGACAGGGATTACAACTGAGATGGAAAATGGCACAAAATGATGTAAAAATAAACTATTAAATTCAAAAACAAATAAACAACATTGCTGGGCCGAATACCTTAGCTTAGCTTTTGCTTCAGAAGGTAGTAGGTGAGGGTCCACAAATCTGCCTATCTAACTAAATATCCATGTGATAGCTAGGCCTGCCAAACTTTAAAACCCCCTACACTCTAGTACACATTTTTTCCCAAGTAAGCTTAGAGTTTTTTCCTTAAATGGTAGATTATCCTATACAATCAGAAACTCATCATTTCTTACATTTTTATAACAGATATACCCGAACCCAACATGAAACAATTATAGTAAAAATCAATTCCATACACCTACTAGGGATAACCCAATGTTACCTCAGTTAAAAATCTTATTTTAAAGAAAGCCACGTGGCACCGTATGTTACCATTCATATGCACTATTCAGAATTGGCAAATTTAGAGGAACAGTAAAGTAGAAATTACTTAGATCTGAAAAGCAGGCACTGGAGTAACTGCTAATGGGTATAGAAATAAATATACTATAATCCAATGATTTACATATTTTAAGCAGATGAACTTTATGACCTAAATCTCAACAAAGCTGTTTTAAAGAATTTGTGTGAAAGCTCATACAGTACTTTAGTAATATGAAATCAAATGTTGTCATTAGACATTCTTAGAAATATATAATTTTAATAGAATATCAATAGCTTTATTTCTCCTGACCCCAGGTACAGGGAATACTTTGCCACTATTATGGCAATTTCTAAACTTCAAATTTAAAGTGAGGGCTACATAGTACTTGTAGGACTACTGAATTATAGGTACATAATATTTCCAAAATGAATGAGATAGCCCTTAAGAGTAATCCCATGCACCTAGAATTAACAGTTCAATATTCAGGTGCAATTTTTGAAAATTGACTTGCTTCACCCACATATCCACCAGGGGCAGCAGAGCAATCACAGTGGCTCTCAGAACCAAGTAAGCACATACAGTGAGAACTATTCAGATTTCTTTTTCTTACCTTTCACACAACATACCACTATTGTGGCTAATGCTGCAAAGACTATTTGGATAATAGTTGTTCTGACGAATAACACTGAATATACTCAATATCAATACTGTTAAAACGTCCCTTATGTGCATTTATGCATCAGTCATTCTGGCTGCTAAGAGGATCCACATAATTCTTCCTTTCATGATTAAGGAACCATCTCTTCCAAAGAGTTAAACCTGCAGTGTCTAATTTTTTCTATCTTAAAAATAAGTGTACAAAGGGAGACTTGAAGAATTTTTCTTAAGTTCTAACGTAATTCAGTAATTCTTAAGGTTCCTATGTACTCCTATTTTTCCTTTGAATTAATCTGTTTGTTTAGCATTTTACATCCAATTAGCCAGCTAAATTAACTGATTTGCTTTGAGAGCTAAAAGGACTTACGTCTCATGAGTTCCAAAGAAGAATATGGGTAATTTGTTTGTGGGTGGTTTTACAGCTCCATCTGGAACTTCATCTACCTAAAAGAAATATCAGAAAAATTAGAACTCTTTTTAAACCATACATACCCTCAACACAATAATAAACTGAAATAAAACATACAAAAGGTATTTAATGGAAAGTGAATGAGTTCACAATTCCTTATCCTTAAGAGTTTATAAACCAAAGAAGCTCTGAAAACCAAGGTATTTCTTAAAACTCATTCAGCTGCAAAAGTATACTGACACTGAAGCTAGTCTGTCGGTTGTTTTTTTCTTTTAATCTACTTAGTGTTCTATTGATGTGTGTCTGCAGAAATAGTTATATTAACACATGCTATTCCAGACCCTAGCAAGAACAAAGCATTCTCTTTCCAAAAACCCCACATTTTGAATTTTAAAGCAAATCTGCCACTAAGCAATTCAGGAAATCTGAATCTGCGCAAAAATCTTAAATGGTATTTCTGCAGTGAGGCCCACAAATAAGAGAACAACATAAAAGCAGACATTCTTAATAAGTTTAATAAAGCAGTATTTCTCAAAGCCTGAAACATATTCTGAAAAGATCTTATGCCTCTATGACTTAATCACATGAAGTAACAAATTCATTTTTCATCTCTTTCAATCTTCCTAACTAAGTTTCAGGTGCTGGTATAGCTAACACTTCTGTAATACTTGTTACCTTCCCATATCAATAAAGGGAAAGCAGATCTCAGAGTTAAGTTAGAGAAAATTTAGCAACATTTTTATTTCATCTCATAACAATTTTTTTTTACAATTTTTATAATTTCAAAGGCACTTGAATCTTAAAAATCAGCTGAATTTGTTAAAAAGGAAGCTGATCATAGAGAACCTACTTTATACTCTATGCATTACCACACTGAACAGACCTGAAAGATGAAGGGGCTCTGCTTGGCAGTTTGAAGGTTTAAGACATGGCTGGAATCATTCCACCCAACAACTGTAGGACTTTCATTTTCTCACCTATATGATAAAGGCCCCCAAAATTGTGAAATTCTGGAAATCTTAAGGAATAATTTCTGTCAAACCAGTTCAGAAAGAAGCTAGCTTCTTTATGTCTAGCACATTCAGAAATTTTAAAAATATGAGGCAAAACTTTTAAAGCTGACTTTTTTTTTTTTTTAAAGATTTATTTATTGGGCCCTCCCTGGTGGCGCAGCGGGTTAAAGCACAGCACTAAGAGGCTTAAGCCACTTCTGCATGAGTTCGATTCCCGCCTGTCCCAGAGGAGATCCACATGGAGTGGCAGACCTCTCCTGACCCGCCCGCTGCTCCCCTCAGCAGTGTACTTCGTCAATCTGCCTGTTCTGTTCCCCATTCTGTCTCTGGTGAATCCTCTCACTGCCCCTGAGCCTCTGGCCTGTACCCCAGTTCTGTATGAATAAATAAATAAATCTTTAAAAAAAAAAAAAAGATTCATTTATTTGTGCATACAGAACTGGGGTACAGGCCAGAGGCTCAGGGGCAGTGAGAGGATTCACCAGAGACAGAATGGGGAACAGAACAGGCAGATTGACGAAGTACACTGCTGAGGGGAGCAGCGGGCGGGCCAGGAGAGGTCCGCCACGCCATGTGGTCACCTCCCGGGCAGGTGGGAATCGAACTCATGCGTTAGCGGCTTTAGATACTCAGTGCTGTGCTTTAACCCACTGTGCCACCAGGGAGGGCCTAAAGCTGACTTTTAAAACAACTATTACAGGTACTGGATTATAAGGCTACAAGACTTAATGAAATTTGGGATAGGTAGACAAAAATGTTAAAATCAAAATTGCAACAATGGGTGTCATCTTCATAGCTGGAGACTATATATACCCTAAATACCTTAAAGCAAAGACCTAGAGACTAAAGAAAAAGGAATGATTTGTGGACACAGACATCCTCAAAAACCAAATTCATCTGCTTCTAAGAAAAAAGGGGAAAAGTGATAAAATTTCACAGTCCAATTCAAGAAAGGCTGTTTATAGAGCTAACTGTTAAATAAAGAAAATACTCTGGGTTCTGGTCCTCCTAAGGCTACTTTATTTGCTTTTATCAGCACTGTGTCACCTAACACTGACATATATAGGAAAAGTGATTTGGAAGAGTAGATCATTTTTTAAATGTGTTTATGATTTAGCTGCATTTTAGCATGGAAATCTGAATATAGACGCATCACATTAACTCAGATGTTAACACCTTTTAGTACTATAACGATTCTGAAACCATAAAAAAGTGTCTTAGAGAGGTCTTAAATCTCCCTATTCTCTCATTAAACATGAAATACAGCGTAAATGTATTATTATGCACTAAGGGCAATGAAGGGTATAAAGAAATCTGACTTAGGGCTACTGCCCTCAAGAAGCTTACTGTCTAGTTTTGAAGTCAAACCATGCACATTAAGAGTCCAAATAAAAGATCTTCACAAAGGAAACATTATCAGAGTACCAAATATACACACAAGATTTATGATTAAGGTTTGTTCAAATAAGGTGCCGATGAAAAGTAGACAATATGGAGGGGAAAAATACAATAAACAGTGGTCATTTCATATACAGATGGTATGCAACAACTCCATCTTTCTCCATAGCCAATGGATTCTTTTTCCTGCCAGCTGCCTTAGTTAACTCTATAGGATTTAATTATTTTTAAAAAATACTCTTCAAAGAACAGCGAGTTAGTAATTACAATTTTGGAGTATCGCTTATACATTTAAAAACCACTATGAATGAGGTTTACTTGGCTAGCAGGTTTCAGCATTTTTTAGGTCCTATCATCTAAAAGCTGAGACCTTTCATAAAATTACAAAGACTTTTCCCTGAAAATGCTGCTTATCCAGGCAATCTCAATTCCTAAATGTCCCAAAAAATCCTAGGTAGTCCTGTACCACAGGACAGGAACCCACACACTGGTTCTACTCATGTGTTTCTTCTGGGAAACAAAGAAGTAAAACAACTTCTTCAAGGTCAAAAAGACAAACCTCACGACCAAAAACATAAAAAAAAATTAATTTTTCTGGACCTGCCCTGACACTAACATAAATTAAAAAAAAAAAAATCCGGCGCGGAAATCTCTTCATTCAACAAATTCAGAAAGCCTCATCAGTTACAAACATGAAAAATACCTACAAACTCAATTTACTGACACATCGCTTTGACTTGCGGGAGTTTAGGTGTAATTTCATTGATACTTTGCATTTTACTCAAAAGAAGTAAATGCCAAGGTTTCGCCAAATGTTCAACATAAAACCCAGACCTGATTTTTCCCCCACCTACAATGGAGCGTTAACTGGCATCCCACTTAAATATCTGCCATTAAGAAAACCTGTCAAAGACAAAACCAAAGGGAAATAAAGACAGTGTGCAGAACACCTGGATTACAATGACACGGGAGATTCCTGGGCCAAAAACGAAAATGAAGGGCAACTTACAAACGAGCCCGTAGAAACCAACGGGTAGAAAAGACACGAGGAAAAATTTCAGAGAAAGGGTAGGAAGTAGGCCTCTGGGGAGGGAGCACAGCTACAGGCGAAGGCTAAAAATCACTTACTCGAGCCGGCCAGTGGGGATACCCTTTCATCTTGGCGAAGATGAGGTCTCCGGGCTTGAAATCGCGAGTCATGTTTCGGGGACGAGGCCGAAGGTCCGAAGCCCAGGGAAGAGGTGCGGCGGGACGGGGCGCAAGGGGGTGCAGGGGGTGTGGGTCTGACCGGAGCGCTGGCTACCGGGGCGACTGCAGGGGAGGATGCCTCCGGGGGCCCCAAGGCGCCTGCGAGGGAAAGCACGAAGGGCGGTTAAAGCGAAGAAACCCGGAGGGAGGGGCTGGAGGCGGAGGGGGAGGACCAGGAGGG